GTAGTTATGGGTTCCTGCCCTCAAGATTCTTTGGTAGTAATTACATGACATTGCAGTATGAGTAACTTCTTATTGTTGGCAACAGGTCCACCTTGGCCCCTGGAGCCCTACCTCCACTAGTTTGTTCTGCATGCCGAACTTGCGGTTTTTCTGTTCCTGCTTATCCGTCTGAGACATATGTATCCCACGGGAATGCCTTGACCTTTTCTGGTCTGATGGACTTATTGTTAAGGGAGGTTTCGGTACCTGACAATAATAGATGTTGAAACTAAATTTCTCCCCCCTCCCTCCTGCTTTTGGGTAGTTTTCCACTTCTGCTGCTTGGGGTATAAAAAAAGGTGTGTTAGCAATAAAGATTATTATTGACTCCTGGATGAAGAACCTTGGTGTCCTGTGTGTCTTTTAACCTCGCCGTCCCTCGCCGGACTCGGCTCCCTTGGCCAGACGCGGCACTTATTTTAGTCAGCTTTTTCATCCCTGTGACCAAAAGACATGACAAGAACAAGACAAAGGAGGAAAAGTTTATTATGGATCACAGTATCAGAGTTTCAGTCCATGGTCAGGGAACTCCATAAATCTGGACTCAAGGTGAGACAAAATATCCTGGCGGAAGAGTATGGCAAAGGAAAGCAGCTCAGGACTTGGCAGTCAGGAAGCACAGAGAGCTCCACATACAAGGGACAAAGTATAAACCTCAACAGCATGCACCCCCCACCCCCCCACCCCCGTGACCTACCTCCTCCAGCCACACCCTAAATGCCTACAGTTACCACCCAGCCAATCCAACAGTGGATTAAACCACTGATCAGGTTACATCTTTTATAATTTAATCATTTCTCCTCTAAAAATTATTGCACTGTCTCACACACAAGCTTTTGGAGGACACCTCACATCTAAACCATAATGCTTCTTGTTGTTCACAAAATAAAATCAGCTTCCTTAATATGGTCACTTCAAGACTACATATAAGCTTCATAAGGATTAGATTCACATGGATTTTGTTCTCCACAAACTTGCAATATAGCATGGGACTTACTGCAATAGAACCAGTGCAGTTTTATCTAATTAATTAATTCAAAATCATGCATAATGAATCAACTTCTTTCCTCTCCAGCATATTTAAAACCACTTTTTTCTGCAAGTAATTATTTTTAATATAATAATATTTTTAATAGTCATTGAATATCTCTTGGGGTGTCTGTGAATATGAAGTTCAAGTGAAACCAGTCAGTTTTATTGTATGATTTTTTTCCCTTTACCTCCTAGGTTCAACCACAGAGAAGGCAAACAGCTGGCTTCTATCTAGGATGGTGTTTATTCATTATTTCACAAGTCTGTTTTCTCCTTTGCCCTGCTCTGTGCTGGGACAGACTGCTTCTCTAGGCTCATCTGTTTGACTCTCTGCTTCTAGTTCAAACAGCAGGAGCCACCTGCAGAAGACGAAAATATGAAAGGAGTAAGGGTTTGGGTGCTTATCCTGCCTGACTCTTCGCTTTAACACAGGTCTGATGTTGATGTGTTTCTCTGTAGCCACAGACCCTATGGAGACGCAGCCCTTCCACAGCTCCAAGGTTACCAGGCTTCAGCAGAAACCCTGCCAGTCCTTGCTCCTTCAGGCCTGAGGATATAAGTGGCCTCCTCTGTTCCCCTATTTTAACACTTCTATGAATAGCCCTTTTATTAAACTCCTCTCTGAGAAATCCTTTATGCTTTATGTTTTCTGCTTCCTCAATAGCACAGTAATGTGTACTAGAAGGAGACCCAAGAATTGATTCTCAAAATGATATGCTAGAGGAAGTGAAATAAAAGAAGAGAAGGAGGGGAGGGAGCAGGTACTGGGAATTGAAATGCAGGACATTATATTCCATGTATGTGTGACCATGTCAAAATGAACCCCAATATTATATATACCTGTAATGCTGTAATAAAAACAATTTTTAATGAGGTGCTAGAATTGAGTTATAGACTTGATGAGCAAGTGGAAAATCTCCTTTTCAGGGAAAAATGAAGCATCAGTGAAGTGTGTAGTATGGAGTGGCATCTCAGAAATGCCAGTTACTACCAGGTATGTTGCATGGTGGGCAGGCAGAAGGCAAGGTGGTGTGGTAAGCAAACACATAGGGTGAGCTATCTGGGTTAAAATCCCAGCACCACCGCCTACCAGCTTAGCTACTTTGGATAAATCACTTCTCTTCTCTGGGTTACAGTTTTCTTAGTTAGCGAGTAAGGGTTAATATATAAGCAACACTTAGTGCTGAACTCATAGTAAGTATTATATAGGTGTTAGCTCTGATCAGTTGAACTAGTTTATATGTAGTTCAAATTAATTCCATTGGGTCCTCATATTTCCTCTTTGGGAAAGACTCCTCATCCTTTTTCCAAGTTAGAGCCAACTAAATAATGTAAAGCTGTGCCTCTAAAGTCCATTTACTCAATCTACATGTCCTTGTTATACTGACACTGACAAAAAGAGAAAATCCATTTAAAACCATTTTTTCTGCAAGTAATTATTTTTATCATAGTCATTGAATATCTCTTGGGGAATCTGAATATGAAGTGCCTCTGCATAGAGCTCATTTGACCAGAAACAAACCACAGAGTGAGTTTTCCTATCACATTTTTTGGAGATAAAATAAGAATGGCTGGGGCTTGAGCTTGCCAGGAGTTCATATCAAAGAACAAATGGCCAAACATGGGAAAGAAGACATTCTTAGTAGATGGGAAAGGGAGGATTCCGGAAAAAGATCTTAAGGAAACCTGCTCTCTTGAACTAAGCCATAGGAGAAGGGAGGAATGGGGAACAAGGAGAGGGACAGGGAAGGGATAGGGAGAAGGACAGAGGAAAGGCCAGAGAACAGAAAGGAAGTATCAGAAGAAAAAGGAAAGGAAGGGAAATTGACAAGAAGGGAAAAGGGAGGGGAATGGAGGGAAGAAGCAGGAGGGAAGGGAAGACTATCCCCTGAGAATCCTTAACCCAAGTCTGCATAAATGGTATTTTACAGGTGGAACTCACATAACTGAGGTGTCCTAAAATGTAACACACACACACACACACACACACACACACACAAAATGAAGTATTACTCAGCCATAAGAAATAATGACTTCATGGGGCTGAGGTTGTGGGTCAGTGGCAGAGCACATGCCTCACACATGTGAGGCACTGCATTCCATCCTCAATACCATATAAAAATAAACAAAATAAAGACATTGTGTCCATCTATAAATGAAATTTTAAAAATATATATTAAAAAATAGAATGACTTTATGACATTTGCCAGCAAAAGGATGGATCTGGAAACTATCATGATGAGTGAAGCCAGTCCCCAAAACCCAAAGATCAAATGTTTTTTCTGATAGATGGAATCTAACCCACAATAAAGGGTGGGGGTAGGTAAGGGGAGGAATAGAAGTGTAGTAGATTAGACAATGGAGAATGGAGGGAAGGGAAGGGGAATAAGCAGAGGAAATACAGTAGAGTGAATCTGACGTAATTTTCCCATGAACATATATGAAAACAACACACTGAATCCCACCACCATGTAAATCCATAAGAATGGGACTCTAACAAGAATAAGATAGACTTCATTACTGTGTAATTATATCAAAATGGATTCTTCTGTCATGTATAATTAAAAAGAACCAATAAATTAAATAAATAAATAAATAAATGCATACATACCAAATTAAAATAAATAAATAAATAAAACCTCTTAAGCAAACTGTTGGTTTTATTGGCTAAAATTTTTTCTAACAAGTACTCTTTTACTATCTAGTATGATCTGCACTGATAACTCCTTCAGTCATCATATTGATCCTTTATGTTTTTCTTTTTCTTTGATAAGTCTAGCTAGGAGTATATCAATTTTAATGATCTTTTTAAAAACAACTTTTAAGATTTCTTTATATTTAATTAATAAAATATAAAATGATAGTCTCCATTTTTATATTTTATTAATTTCTTCATCTTGCTTAACTTGGGCTTAATTTCTTCTTCTTTCTTCTATATTCTTAAATTGCCAAATTAAATAATTGATTTTAAATCCCTATTCATTCCTAATACAAGCATTAAATGGTGTAAGTTTCCCTCTATTTACTCTTTAGCTGTACCTCCTCACCTTTTGCTTTTGTCATGATCAATCACTTTAAAATATTTTGTAACTTTTCCTGTAATTTCTTATTTAATACATGGTTATTGAGATGTCCTTTGTTTGTTTGTTTCCAACTATTTAGGGCTTTTCATTGCCATCATGTTGTTATTGGTTTCCAATTTTACATTCTGTGTTGATAAGAGAATATATTCTGTACCATTTTATTGTTTTAAAATTTATTGGTATTTTTGATGACCCAGTACATAAAGTAATGTCCTGGCCCTCCTAGTGGCTTTCCAACTTCCAAGTAACATTATCAGCAGGCACTAAGTTCCCTTGCCCAAAAGTACCTGTCTTGATTTTGTTTGTTTTAAGTAAAATGACACTAGTGTTAGGATGAAGGGTGTTTTCTTAAAAAGTGGCCTTCTCAGCTGCTTTGAAGAGACCTTGCTGATACCCAGGAGTCCAGTGATTTGGAGCTCACTGTCAAAGGGTTTGAAGACACTAAAACTGAGCAAAATTGGGGACTTTTCCATTCCCATTCCAGACAGGGTTGCAGGAAAGATGTCATAATCAGAGCTGTCATTTATCTTATTCTGAAATCACTCAGAAAAAAGGAGTAGACAACTGTGGGCACCAGGAGAAAAAAATACATATAACATGTGTGTGTGTGTGTGTGTGTGTGTGTGTGTGTGTCAAGGAGGGGGGACTACTATTCATGATCCAGCTATCCAGATATATCCCAACAGAATGTGGAGCCAAATGCTTGTGGGCTGTTATTGGCATGGGACTAGTAGGACTAGAAGGACTCTACATTGTAGAGTGGCCTCTATCCATATAATCCATACAACCATGAGTTCTTGGCTATGCCTGTGGCAGGAACCTCTAAAGAAAGTAACTAGATTAGGTTCAGACCAATCCTTTAACATAGAACACCCTGAGTACTCGCTGGCGGATCTGTCGAGTCTTCACCCCATAGACGAGAGGATTGAGGGCAGGTGGCACAAGGAGGTACAGGGTGGCCAGAAGAACATGGACATGATGGGGTACATGGTGGCCAAAGCGGTGAGTGAGGAAGGAGAACATCCCAGGGACATAGAAGACCAAGATGACACAAACATGAGCCCCACATGTGCTAAAGGCCTTGAGTCGAGCCTCACTCCCTGGTACCTTCAGCACTGCCTGAAGGATGAGGGCATAGGAGACACCAATGGCCAGGACATCTAGCCCAACCACCAGAAGTGCCACTGCCAGCCCATAGGCTCTGTTCACTGTGGTTTCTGAACAGGCAAGTTTTACCACAGCCATATGTTCACAATAGGCATGGCCTATGACTGTGGTCTGGCAGAAGATAAGGCTCTGAAGCAGGATGGGGAAGGGGATGAGGAGGATCAATCCACGCACCAGCACTGCCATCCCAATGCGCCCTATGGTCCCTGGATGCAGGATGGTGGAATGGTGCAGAGGATGGCAAATGGCCACATAGCGATCCAGAGCCATGGCCACCAGTACACCTGACTCCATGGAAGAGAAAGCATGAATGAAGAACATCTGGGTCAGGCAGACAACGTACCCAATCTCATGAGCATGGACCAGGAGCACAACAAGGGCTTTGGGTGCAGTGGAGGAGGCCAGAACAAGGTCAATGGCAGCTAGCATGGCCAAGAAGAGGTACATGGGTTGGTGCAAGGATTGCTCAGCCCAGATGATGAAGATAATGGTAACGTTGCCCACTAGAGCAAGGAAATAAAGGACACCCAAGGGGAAAGCTATCCAGTGCTGACTCTCCTCTAGACCTGGAATACCTACCAGGAAAAAGGAAGGCTGGGGTAGCCTCCAGCTGGAATTGCTAAGGTCCATCATAAAGGGCTTAGAGAGGGAAAAGGGAAAAGGAACCAAAGTCATGATTTTTCCACTCCTGATATGTTACCACATAGTCCAGCTCTGGCTGCCCTCTGCACCAGAAGAACGAAGTACCTTGAGCTGCAACACAAGGGAATACAGTTAGAGACAAGGAAAAAAATCTCCTTTCCTGGAGATACTCTTCTTATGGGTGAGACTTGCACATGTCTGAATTAGGTTAAATCTAGTTTTACTCAGAGATAAGAATAAACACATGCTGCCTTTAGGGGAGATGCTTACACTTTACCATTCAATTATTTGTATTTCAGAACAGTTTATTTGAAAGATCTCCCCTAATTCATTCTCTGGATGTTAATAAGTCCATCTGTTTCTTTTAAAACTAGTCTCAAGTTTCCACAACATGGCACTCTACAGTTGTTCCTCCTCTGACCCAAGCCCACCATCTCCTCCACCTTATTAAAGATTGATTCCAGGGTTCCATCCTCTCTTCCTTTCACAAAATTGCACATTATTTCTGAATCACACTCTTAACTATTTAAATACTTTCATTTCTTCCAAAATTGTGTTTTTAAGTCAAATATCTTTCTGAAACAAAAGATCTTTTTATATTTTCTTTACTGCAGACTATGCACTCAACATATCCAAGACTGGACAAACTTGCCTATCCTTCCCAAATTTTCTCTATGTTTTGTCAATATTTTTGTGAGTTATACCACTATCTACCTTCCCAACTTCATCCAGAAAGTTGGAAACTCTCCTTACTCATTTTCTCCTTCATTCCTTTTGCCCCTTCACCAGTTCCTATTGTCTTATTTTTTTGCATCTCTGATAGCCACTCCTTTTCTCTGACCCCCGAAGTCCCAGCTTTAGCACACACTTCCAACTTCTCTTACCTGGACTTTGTCATTAGGTGTTTCTGCCTTAGCTTTGTCTCTCGCCAATCCACTCTCAACCCTGAAGTTAGAGGGTTTTTCCTAAAATGCAGATGTCAGCACGTTACTCCAATGGTCAAAATTCTTCATGAATTCCCTGTATGAATAGTCAAATTTTTAGGACAAACACATGAAATTTTGAAGACGGTATTTGTGTATTACTTGTGTCTTACATTCAACATGTTCCCATAAGTTAAATATTTTGTTTTAGACATTCTAAAACTCCTGGGATTACCACTGGACCACTCTATTTTGTATATTCCCTTCATGTATTCTTTCTTCTTCTTTCTTTATCTGAATTGATACTTCCATCCACCAAACACGAGTTCACTGTCTCCCATCCCTCAGGAAGATTCATTGACTGTGTTAGGTCAATGTCCATTATATTAGGAATTCTAAATTCTACAATCATCCTTCATTCATCTACAATTCTGATTTGTCACTATTATTAAAACCTTTCAAGGGCTGGGGATGTGGCTCAAGCGGTAGCACGCTCACCTGGCATGGGTGTTGCACTGGGGATCCTCAGTACCACATTAAAAAAAAATAAAATGGAGGATTTTGTGTCCACTGAAAACTAAAAAATAAATTCTCTCTCTCTCTCCCTTAAAATAAATAAATAAATACAAACCTTTCAATATCTTAATGGTTTGTTTCAACAGAAAAGATCATAATTCATTAAACTTGATAATTACAAGTAAGCATGCTGGACACTTCACAATGTAGTAGGATTAATACAAGCTGTGGATTGCACCAAAGGATTCAGGTGCATGCTATGACCATTTCATATTCTAGGAATTAAATTTTGGCAGGCAACTTAATCTCTCAAAGGCCTCATTTACTCATTTTATAGTAAGATTAATAAGATAAATTCACAGGTTTATACTAAATATTTATGAAATATTACATGTGAAGTCTTGATACATAAGTAACTCTATAAATGATAGTTATTATCATTAGCAGTAATAATAAGGAATGACTTAGTATAAGATCAGATTTCTTTTTTCTTTGTCTCCATGAATCTCTTCCTGTATTTCAGATTGTTGTTGTGTCTGTCTCACATCACAATGCTATAATAACTCAGTTTCAGTCACCCTCCATGTAAACATCAAGTGCCAAATAATTAGGTGTTCTATTTAACCACTTGATTAACCCCTCAAGCACCAACACAAAAATCTGAAACTGCACGTTTGTGTCTACGTGTTTGTTTTAAAAGACAGATGGCACTCTGAAATGTTTTTCTGTGTTGAGGATATATATATATATATATATATATATATATATATATATATATGTAAAGATAATCAAGAATGCCTCAGTTTTTGTGGACTGTGCACCCATAGATCATTCCGTGTGCCTTTTCCTAAACCAATAATGATTAAATATTGCCACAAAACTCTGAAAATATCAGCAGTAAAATATGAACTGCCTGGTGAGTATGTATCTCCCTGTCTTTGTTTTTCATCAGAATCAGCTTAAAATAGCAGTGACATTTCTATTGAGACCTCTAGGGGAATCTCATAATTATACAAAAATTCACCTTTCAGGACTTAACATTTCACCCAGTGAGACAGCTGATTGCTTTCTTAGCTACCCTCTTCTGCCACAAGATTAAGGCCATTTCCCGTCGTTTAGCTGAGAAGTGAAAGAGCAGCTACACATGTGCAGGGCACCCTGGCCCTAACACAGGCAGCATCCAAGGAGCACTGAGGCTGAAGCCCACCTGTGGGTACAGGAGAGATGAGAGAAGCTTGTGCTGAGTATAACCTGCCTTCTCTTTGTCCTGGGTGACTCCTGAGCCACAGTAAAAGCCTAGAACTGCTTGTTAAATATTAGCTGTTAAAGTACAAGAATTGTCTCTGTGCTCCTTAGAGGAAAAGCAGAAGGGACTTTATTCCCAGGAACCTGAAGGGGAAGATGCCCTTAACTCTCGACCAGGAAGCAAAGCGATCGATGAGCAAAGCACTGATGTTGCTCAGCTCCTACTTGTTTTTGTAAATCTAGTGCAAGCAGCCTCTCTTCCATGAGGCTGTCCTCCAGTGCTGCGAGGCAGCAGGACATGGCTCCTGCACTTTCCCATCACAGTCTCCTCACTGCTTTGTCAGTGCACTGATTACTCCACACTGTAAAACCTGTCAGTGTCAGTCCTTGAGGAGTCGGGATCATGCCTTCCTTAGTGGAGCAGCCCCAGCACAAACTTCAGAAGAGCCTAGAATCTAGTTGGTACTCAGGAATGTTGGTGAAATAAACACCCACATGACTAAAGTACAGAATAAATGAGTAAGAACATGAGTGTCTTAAAGGAACTGAGAATTGTGGGAACCAGGCAAGTCAGAGGCTCAATTTAAGGCGTAAGGATGATGTAACAGTGGAGCGTCTCTTGAGCAGGGAGGGGGCTAAGCCTCAGTGTTCTTCACCCTAAGAGATACTCTGGGAGCTTTGTGACAGAACCAGCCTTGCTGAACCTCTCTACCTTGAGAGGCCAGGGAGGCGTCCCAGATGTGTGTGAGATATGAGGGAATTCCTTTGATTATGAGAGATCACTACTGTCACTAAGCAGAAAGTCTCTTCTTTGATGTGACCTGACCCTTCTCCTTAATTCTCTTCTTTTTTAAAAATTTTTAAATTGATTTTTTAAAAATAAATGACAGCAGTTTGCGTACAAATCTTATTAAACATATACAGCACAATTTTTCATATCTCTGGTTGTATATAAAGTATATCCACACCAATTCATGTCTTCATACATGTACTTTGGATAATGATGTCTATCATATTCCACCATCATTGCTAATCTCCTGCCCCCTCCCTTCCCCTCCCACTCCTCTGTCCTATCTAGAGTTCATCTTTTCCTTCCATGCTCCCCATCTCTACCCCACTATGAATCAGCCTCCTTATATCAAAGAAAACATTCGGCATTTGTTTTTTGGGGATTGGCTTCCTTCACTTAGCATTATCTTCTCCAACACCATCCATTTACATGCAAATGCCATTTTATTCTCTTTTATTGCTGAGTAATATTCCGTTGTGTATATATGCCACATTTTTTTTTTTAATTTTTTATTGTGGGTTGTTCAAAACATTACAAATTTCTTGACATATCATATTCCACACTTTGATTCTAGTGGGTTATGAACTCCCACCTTCACCCCATACACAGATTGCAGATTCACATCAGTTACACATCCATTGATTTACAAATTGCCATACTAGTGTCTGTTGTGCTCCGCTGCCTTTCCCATCATCCACCCTCCCCCCTCCCCACCTCTCCCCTCCCCTCCCCTCCTCTCTCTCTACCCCCTCCACTGTATAACCCTGAGGGTCTCCTTCCATTACCGTGCAATTTACCTTCTCTCTCCCTTTCCCTCCCACCTCTCATCCCTGTTAAATGTTAATCTTCTTCTCCTGTTCTTCGTCCCTACTCTGTTCTTAGTTACTTTCCTTATATCAAAGAAGACATTTGGCATTTGTTTTTTAGGGATTGGCTAGCTTCACTTAGCATAATCTGCTCTAATGCCATCCATTTCCCTGTAAATTCTATGATTTTGTCATTTTTTAATGCAGAGTAATACTCCATTGTGTATAAATGCCACATTTTTTTTATCCATTCGTCTATTGAAGGGCATCTAGGTTGGTTCCACAGTCTTGCTATTGTGAACTGTGCTGCTATGAACATCGATGTAGCAGTGTCCCTGTAGCATGCTCTTTTTAGGTCTTTAGGGAATAGACCAAGAAGGGGAATAGCTGGGTCAAATGGTGGCTCCATTCCCAGCTTTCCAAGAAATCTCCATACTGCTTTCCAAATTGGCTGCACCAATCTGCAGTCCCACCAGCAATGTACAAGTGTACCCTTTTCCCCACATCCTCGCCAGCACTTGTTGTTGTTTGACTTCCTAATGGCTGCCAATCTTACTGGAGTGAGATGGTATCTTAGGGTGGTTTTGATTTGCATTTCTCTGACAGCTAGAGATGTTGAGCATTTTTTCATGTACTTGTTGATTGACTGTATGTCCTCCTCTGTGAAGTGTCTGTTCAGGTCCTTGGCCCATTTGTTGATTGGGTTGTTTGTTCTCTTATTGTCTAATTTTTTGAGTTCTTTGTATACTCTGG